GCATTTGATATAGTGCTTTTCACATCTTAGAGACGTCTCAAAGCGCTTAACCTAAATTTAATTTATTAATATTTGTTAATATGTAAAAGAAAAAAATTGTTATTATTGTGGGGTATTTTCCTTGGACTTCAGCCTGCTAACTGAATACAGTAGATGTGGAGCCAAATGGATTTTCAGCATATTGAGATTCAAAACATTAAACTCAGGAATTCAGCTCATTAACTGACAGAATATATTTTTTGAGAATGCTAAAAAATCCACTAACTAACCTTAGACTGGTTTTATAGATTTTGCTGATTCAGTTGTTTGAATGAAACAAAATTCAGTTTTTCTAGCCCTTGACCCTAGAGTTTAAAATGAGGTTTTAATTGCCTCAACAAATCTATCTGGGAAACTGTTAGGTTACATGCCTTGAAACATTAGAAGTGCTTCATGCTGGTAAACTATGGTTTCTGTCGCACTAAGGAAGCTATTCAATTTTAATTAGTTATGCACTTGAATCCTTGCATACCCACTTTCACTCTTTTGAGATTCATATAATGAGTGCAATATGAGAAACAAATATCCTTGGGAGAGGGAAAGTAAGATCTCTCTGGGGATGAACTAACTCCAAGGTAACATACCTGGCAAGGTTAGATGGGTCCACAGCAATTACGCGATCGATTTAGAGATGCAGTCATGTCTTCAACCTCGCAAGCCATAGTTTTAATAGCAAGGATCGTCCAAGTTGAACAAGCATGATGCCACATGTTTACCATATAAATTCCTAAAATCTCAAGAAATGTACTATTAAAAGCAGTTAGCGATTAATTTCAAACAGGAGAGTAATTTATTCTTAGCATTGTAGGGATGTTTGTTGGTAAAATCCACATACCCATGTTGTCAGCTATTCATGGTGGCAGTAACTGGCTTGGAATGCATGACTTCATTGCAGAGAGAGAACTAAAATGTGAAGAGAAATGCATTGACAATTTAGTTAGTGAGCTGAGTTCAAGTCTTGCATTCAGATTGAATTCTGCTTCGATTGGATCATTTCTGTCATTTTGCATTCAGCAGCGGAAGGTTGCTTTTAAAAGCCACCTGGAAGGTCAGAGTAAATAGGCAGAAAAAACATAATCACAGATGTCTCTCTCCAAATTTCAGCTTGTATTCATTTCAAATAGTTAGTCTGAAATATCAGAAAGCACTTGTTCGTCTGAACCACAGAATGTTTTAAAAAAATTAAGTCAAAAAGCAAGAAACAATTTAATCACAAAATTCTGCTGGACCTGATCAAACAATCAGACCTGTCAGACTCACAATTTCTTTATTCACACATCAGGTTTCTTTCTGTTTATCAGCAGTTTGTCTGTGCTTATTCTCATTGTTGCTGCATTGTGCCACCAAACCAGAAAGCACGACACAGAACCCGATTAGAGGGAGTTAGTCAAAACATGAATTGTTACTTGATAGGTTCTGGCCTATTTCTAATTTTAGGATTTAAAAATGAAGCTAAAATCATAGTTTTTGATGTAGATTATATATTTATATGCACATTTGACAATGACAGTGGCTTGGTTTTTAGAACCCTCAATTCTTTGGAAAATGGATTGCTGACTGATTCCAGATAATGCTCATCAGGAGTAGTTCAGTCAGTTAGATGCTGCTCTTTAGACCAGAACATAATGAGTTTTAAATCCAAGTGAGTCCACTCCATTTATTATTCTTTTTAGTAAATCCCATATTTGATATAATACTATATTACATGAATACTATATTTTAGCTTTACCTTTAATTTCTATCTCTAGTTTTTCTTTCAAGTATATTTTGTTTGGACAACTGGTCAATCTTTCGCTCAGCTGCATTTTCTTTCTTTTTCACTCGACTTCTTACTCTTTTTAAGCTTTACACACTAGGGGCCGATCTTCTGTTCATCTCTAAAATAAACCATCTTTTTGCTTAAATTTTCTTTGGGATCTATTATAAAATTATAGTGAAAATAAATAGTCATTTTTTTGAAATCAGCATAAGATAAACCCTAATATCTCACTCCACTCTATCAATTCCTCCCGGCTCTTTCCACTCTCACCCATTCCTCACCATCAATATCTCTTCCAAAGCATTAACCACCGAGTTAGAAGAAAAAGAGGAATGAAAGGTAGCATAAATAACAAGGAAAATTATTAATAGAAAATTTAATTCATAAAATAGTAATATTTTAATAATAATAGTAATAATAATAGTAATAATAGGAAGCAAATTACCTTTTAGAAAGATCAATTAAAATTGTAATTTAGTGTCTATGAGCAATACCACTTGTAAGGTTCACTAATAAGACATGTTATGTGTAATAACATGTTAAAGGTACCCAATGATTTATTTTAAGCTGGTGCAACATTATGTCGTCACAATGCACTTCCTGAAATTAAAAATTATTCTGTCTTTTGAGGGAAAATCTGTTGACTCTGTTCATTGAACAGTTTAGAGGTGTTCTAATCTAATTTCTTATAATTTATATAATAACTGTATTGCATGTTATATTATCAGATGGTAACTATTGTCATAATTTCCATTGTGAAATGTAACACTTTCAACTCTTTGTAATTCAGTTGAGATGTTTGTGTCTATGGGTTTACAAAATCCCGTGTTTTGTAGCCTATTACACCTATATCAATATATTTCCTCCTGTAAAACTTGAATTTAATTCAAGTCCACATTGGAAAGATGAATATTCCCTGTCTCAGAGATCTGAACGTCATCTAAGTGGTGTGTATTTGGGTATATGTTCACTTACACATTTTTTAGGGAGCATGAATCCATAGAACAACTTTACTCATAGTATAGAAATAATTAGTAATAGATTGTCGATCTTATTCAGAGAGTACACAAAAATAATTGGTATGAGAAATAGAAATGGTGCACAGTCTGACTGATAAGCGTTAAGGAACATATGTTAGGAGAGTGCAGCAGGATATTAAATAAAAAGTTTAATTTCAATTTGGATACCTTATTTTCAAGTACTAACATGTTGAAGAAGCTTCAAAGAACAAGAAGAATGAACATACATGATTATGAAGATAAAGTCACAAATTTAGATTTCCTGTCTTTGAAGAAGTGGAGATTGAGAATGGACACAGTCCAGAAAAACATGAAGGATTATATGGTTGTAAATGGGTTAATTGAAACCGTGATTACACAACAGATACATAATCAACAAGCTGTCAATGATAACCGTTTACAATTAAATAGTTTAATGTTATATTGATATCATGGAGATGACTTGAACTCAGGACTTGATGTCGTGTAGTCTAAGCTAACATTCCAATGTAGTGCTGGAGTGTTCTCAAAGCCGTCAGGAACCTCGGGGTTCTGTTCGACCCTGAGCTGTCCTTTCTCCCTCATATCCGCGCCACAACCGGCACCGCCTTCCATCACCGCCGGAATGTCGCCAGACTACGGCATTACCTCACCCCTCACGCTGCTGAAACTCTGGTCCACGCCTTTATCACCTCAAGGCTGGACTATGGGAACTCTCTCCTCGTCGGCCTTCCCGGCACCTCCCTCCACAAGCTGCAGGTCATTCAGAACTCTGCAGCTCGTGTACTGTCCCGCACCAGGCTTCGCGACCACATCACTCCCACCCTCGCTCGCCTCCACTGGCTCCCCATCCCCCAGAGGATCGAATTCAAGATCCTCATCCTCACCTACAAGGCCATTCACGGCCTTGCTCCCTCCTACCTCTCCGAACTACTATTCCCCTACCTACCTGCCCGTACCCTCCGTTCCTCTGGCTCCGGTCTGCTCCACATCCCCCGCCCCAACCGCCCTACTATCGGTGGCCGGGCCTTCAGCCCCTAGGCTCTGGAACTCTATCTCCCTGTGCCTTCGCCGCCTCCTCCCTTTCCTCCTTCAAGGCCGGTCTCAAGACTTTTCTCTTTGACCGTGCCTTCAGCTCCCCTCTCGACTCTCTACCCCCTCCTCGCTCCCTCCCTTCCCTCCCCTCACCCTGACCATTTCCCCCCTGCTCGGGTCCTGAGCAAACTGTACAGCGCCTTGGGACGTCCTCCCGACGTGAAAGGCGCTCAATAAATGGAATCTTGTTGTTGTTGTTGTTCTGGATTGTCATTGGCGCCATTATTTTGATGAGAGGTTAAAAAGAAGATCCTGTGCTTTTTCAGTTGAACGATAAACATCTCATGGCACTATTCAAAAAGAGAAGGGAGTTTCTCCTGGTCTCTGGCTAACAATCCCCCAAATAAAGTTGGTCATTTGCTGCATGGCTCCTTGTGGGTCATTGTCGTGGGTCATTGTGGGTCACAATTGGGCTGCTACATTTACCTACAGTTAGCGTCACACCATTTTCACAATAAATCCTGTGAAGCGCTTTGGGATGTTCTCCCAACGTGAAAGTCGATATACCAAATGCAAGGATTATTATTATATGTTGGAATGCCATTGTAGATGAAAGATTTCCAAAGTTTTCTGTTTCTGGTATTGCAACTCACTTAGGAGGTTCAATAAATTGTGAGCGCCCATTATTATACTAATTACATGAATGGTTGGACCCATGGGGCAATTTGCAGTTTGAAATTCTAGTACAAAACTGCATAACAGAAACATAACATTCCCTTCATTATTATCTATTTGATGGTGTAAAATGTTACTTCATAATTTATATAACGAGTTTCAGCTTGGATTTCACCACCACTGAACACAATTTAGCCCCAAAATTAGTCCCTCGCAGCAAAAGCTGAAAGTTATCACACTAAAGAAACTGTTAAATATAACCGCAAAGATTATTATAGTTTTCTACTGTAGTGTATATATTGATCATGGAATGGAAATCCTCGTTGAATATGCACACATTGTTGAGGGAATTGTGTTTCTATCCACAGTTTGTTTGTGTTAAGCACTTTGAGACATCCTCCCAACGAGAAAGGCACTGTATCAGTGCAAACCGTACTGTTTTGTGAAGCATCCATGTTAGAAGTAGTAAAAATGATTTGTTTTGGTCTGTACAGAGCTCTTTACGTATGCTTAATAAGGCCATTGCTGGATTAGTGGTAATGTCAGAAGAGATGGAAAAAATATACACCAGCTTTATGAACAACCAGGTTCCAGAGCTGTGGGCTGATGCAGCTTATCCATCACTCAAGCCCCTGGGAGGATGGGTGAAAGACTTCATTCTGAGAATTGATTTCATACAGGTGAGACATGTTGACATCCATTCTTAAAGAACAATTAACCATTCTTATGATTGCAAATGTGTTAAAAGCTTTGATGATGTTTATAGTTTTGTTTAAACTGTAGTCATCACCTCCTTAGAAAGCCACCCTTGATCAACCCATCTCTAACATGCTCCTCTCCAAAGTACGCACATGTCACCTCACAATTATACTCCTAGCTCTTCCAATATTCCCAGTTTAAGACCCTCCAGTCAGGTTTCCAAACTGCTCACAGCATCAAGACATTCTTGGTCGGTTGGTGGTGGTGGTGATTGTCTTTCCAAATGGACAAAGTGTTGGTACTGTACAAGGATGAGTTTTATATTACTTTCTGTGGTAGAAAGGCATTTCTTTCTGTTATGTATTCATAACTATAATTTATATGAGCAACTAAATTGCAGATTTCAGAAACTGGAAGCCTCTGCACTAATTCCAACTTCAAGTTTTCAACTGAATTTATATGATTCACTAATGAATAGAAGTAATTAGATTTTTATTTATATTGTTAAAATGATAACCTGGAGATTTTCCTTGATTGCTTCTGAGATTGAGGAAGACATATTTAAAAGCTTGCACTTCTATGGAGCTTACAATGGATATTTTTCTCCATCGAGAAAATGGAGAGTTTTCCTCCTTTTAATTACAGTGAATGGCCTGAATGCCCTTTTCTTCATTTTCTATGAGTTAGGTAATTCAATTCAAGCCTGGTTTAATTTACACAAGTGCAGGAGAAAATGTATCCAAAACTCACAAATCTGTGTTTACAAATTATTCATACACAACAAACATTTTACTTCCAAACACATTGCACTACTCTACAAAGAGGGAAGGATATTGATAACTCAAAACAAAGTATTAATAATAATATTTACAAAATACAGTGAGTAGATTTTGAACATACAAATGGTTGTCTTGGAGCAGAACAGGTCAGAGCAGATCATTTTCTTGCTGTATTGATTAGGAATGATTCCTGGCTCAGAGAAACAAGGTGGAATGGGAGGAAACAAGACTCTAAACATAAATGAACATCTCTGTGGGACGTGCTGAAGTGGTAAACATGTTAAAATCATATTTAACAAACATAGAAAAACAAAACAGCAGTATAAAATTATATTCTGAACTGCTAATGCAATGCCCTGCCCTTAGATCTATCCTATTAATCATCATTGACCTCCACTTCCAGTCAAGGAATATTTTACCCATGTCACTGAGCAGTACCGTTCAAATGTCCTGACCTATATAAAACCCCACTATGTACCTGGGAGTACTAATTAAACTGAATTGAATCATAGAAACTATAATGCTTCTCAGCAGAAGGAAGTGTGCCAGTCTTATACAATGCTTGTTTAATAAATGCCGTATATTAAAACATGATATAACAGCTAGCTGCACAAGAACAAAACTGAAATGAAGATTGTTATGTTTTGCACATTTCTTCAGTATTTGATTAAATTGCCATATTTTACAGACCTGGATCAAAAAGGGCCTCCCCAAGTCCTACTGGATTTCTGGATTCTTCTTTCCTCAGGGCTTTCTGACAGGTGAGACCAAACAGAATTCTCTGAAAATGATGTTAATTAACTTGAGCCTGTTTGCAAATTTTGCTTATAATTCAATGTTCTGTTACTCGGTGAGCATGAAGTGTTGAGGTTAAGTCCATTGTTATAGTGGAAATTTAACCCAAAAAACAGGGCTTATCACATCAGGTCTTTTCTGATAGGTGAATATTGCCTTTTTGAAGCATTTGATATTTTTTGATGAATTCATAGTCAGCTCCCTGGAGGGATATAAATTCCTCTTTCTTGGTTGCTCATCCTTGAAGTCTTATTCAAGGGATATAGACGGTCCTGTAGCTTGCTCCAATCTGATCTGTAAACATCATTATAAGCATCTGTTACTCAAGCTCCGCACCTTGAACTATTTCTTAATGGGTAAGGATGTGTTCCGAGCTTTGAGCAGGAGGATGGTGGCAGGGAACTCACTCATTTCACGCTGAACCATGCACCGACTTCCGAAGAACTCCTGAGAGGGAGTTCCTAGTACCTGCCATCTACTTAGTGATTTGTCTTGATAAAAAGTATGAGCTAACCTGTTCCCAAATTATCAGTAAACTGGAGTGATTCTGATCGTTTGATCAATTTAAAGACTTCAACATAAGCAACAACTCTGCACATTTAAATATCGCAGTTTCAGATGCATGTTACTGTGTTCAATTTTAAAGTTTAACTCAGTGCCCTTTTTTTGGTCAGTCGGGTGTTCGACACACTGATCACTCTGCCTAAGAATATCCGAACCAAACTGAGAATTCCACGCATCCCATCTCCACATGGAATTTCCAGAGATAAATTGGTGGAATGCACTCTTTCCTTGGAGGGACGCATCCTGCTTATCTAATTCTGGAAAGTATTGGTGCAGGTTGGTGGGTGTGTGTTGGGGTACTAGTGGAGTTAACTAAGTAAAATTGCATAGCTTGGCATTGATAGAACTGTCTGGCAAGCTTTCCTGCTGCTTGTCCAGCTACAACCATCCTACCAGACACGGCTTTAGCTTGCAGGATTAACAGGAGCTGAATTAACTCTGGTCTTTTTGACCTTGTATAGGAGGACATGCCATTTAATTATGGATTTGGGCATTACCATACATTGTTAATATATGTATTTGTTGTTTGCTATTTTAAATGTTTCCAGTGCATATTTAAATGTTTATTTTTCACTTTTACATGTTTATATTAAACATTATTAAGTACTGTGTGTAAAACTGTGCACAGGGGGAATTGTAGCATTGCTTAATTATGTAATTAATAACCAATGAGAAAACTTGGTTGTCAATTACATAATTAACATTTTCATTTGACTTTTTCTCCACCTCATATATGTTTCATATCGGTGAGAGAGTCAACATGGATCCAAACTCTCTTAGTGATGATTTACAGAGCAGAGGGTGGAATGATATCACCAAATATCATATCGGCAGCAGACAGTGCAGGGAGATTCCACACCGGGCAACGTCCCATGGCTCTTAACAATGGTGGAGCCGATGCCGAGCCAGGGGGAGGGTGATCATAGGCACGGTCAAAGAGGAAGATCTTCAGATGCAACCGGAAAATAGGGAAAGAGGGGACAAGGCGAATGGATTGAGGGAGGGAGTTTCACAGCTTTGGGCTGTAGTGGCTGAAGGCATGGCTGCCAAAGGTAGAGCGGAGGATTCGAGGGACAAGGAGGAGGCCGGAGCCAGTAGACCAGACGCAGCAGGTACTGCTGTGAAGAGAGAGGAGGTTGGAGAGAGAGGGAGGTGTCAAGGAATGGAGGGATTTAAACACTAGAGTGAGGATCTTGATGTTGATCCGTTCTATGACAGGGAGTCAGTGGAGTTTGGCAAGGACTGGGGTAATTGGGATGCGGTGTTTGGTGCGGGTGAGAATGTGGAAGTTTTGGATGAGTTGAATTTTGTGAATAGTGGAGGAGGGGAGATCGGCGAGGAGGGGGTTAGAGTAGTCCAGCCGAGAGGTGACAAAGGCGTGGACAAGGGTTTTGGCAGCTTATGGAGTGAGGTATTATCAGAGACAGGCAATGTGGCAGAGGTGGAGGAAAGCAATCCTGGTCAGGGATCAGATGTGGGGGAGGAAGGATAACAGGATCGAACCTGACGCCTAAGTTGCGCACGAGTTCAGAGAGTTTTAAGGACAGATTGGTAGATTGAGGAGGTCTGAACCACAGGACAAAAGATGAGCCAAATAGTATGGCTTCCGTCTTGTTGACGTTTAACTGCAAGAGGTTTGTGCTCATGCAGGCGAAGGGTGTGTACAGATACAACTTGTTGTTGGACTAGATTGTCCACAGTTGTAGATGGTCTGCAAACATGGAACTCTTAGGTTTGGATACCGTTAAACATGCTGATGAGTTTCCGCACCTGGGTTCGATTCCTGGCAGGATGAAACCTTGGGTAAGTTTCCTTACACCACAGCTTGATAATAATCCCTCAAGAAAAAAAAACAATAATAATTTGGTCACTCAATCCACTACTGTTTGTGGGACACTGCTGTGTGCAATTGGCTGCCGCATTTCGCCCACAAATTATACAGTCAATTCACTTTACAGTATATTCTGTGAAGCACTTTGACACGTCTAGAAGATGTAAAAAGCGTTAAAGTAAATGCAAGGATTATTATATTTTAGCTCGCTGACCAAACAAAAAGTGCGATATTGGAGGGTGCGGGAAAGGAGCATGGAATTGGAATTAGGATGGTTGATTTATTGGAGGAGCCAGTGATTAGAATAAACAAAATATAAATTTTTAAAGAAAAAAAGAATAATGTTGACAGACTGCCCTCAATTTGTAAGCTTGGAGCTGACAATAGCAAAGAATAATAACTTGTGCCATTGTAACAAAAATAGCATTGTAATTTGTTTCAATCTGTGTTTCAGGCACACTTCAGAACCATGCAAGGAAATACAATTTACCAATCGACGAGCTTAGCTTCCGTTACAATGTTATTCCTGTGTATAGAGATGCAGCAGAAGTAGCTGAGGCTATGAAAGCCTTAGGATTTGGGCAAAAACTTCTGATGGATGTGGAGGTAATTTAAACCTGTCAATTGAGAAGCATTCTTAAGTTTTCTAGGCTAGGAACACATCTGAGCACCTGATAATATTTTTAGTTGGTGACCCCTTTGTGCAATGAGGGAAATTTGATGCTGAGTAATATAGCAGCTAATAGATGTCAGTAAAAAATATTAAAACTTAGTATTCCCCTTTCGCCCTCCAGTAAAGCCAAGGGAGACCAGCGGGTGTTCAGGTTGAATTACAATCATTTCTTAATTAATGGTAAAACTAGTGAGTGTAATTCTAAATTTCTATGCTTGTGATAAAAATTACGATGAGAAAAGACCTTATTTTAGATTTGATTTCAATCAGAGTAACAGAGTAACAGTGAACCAGGTGTGCTAATTTTAATGTGGGAAGCTCTGTCAAACGCAGTTCCACATTGCTGCCCAACTGTGGTCTGAGCCCAATCTCACAGACACAAAGGACAGTGACAGATGCCAGCAAACTTGTTATCACATCTGTCACTCCACGCTTATCTGGAGGGAGATGGTTCCAGATGAATTAAGAGTCTTATACAAGAATAAACAGAACAGAACATCAAACCTTCAAAATCCTTTTTCACAGAAACATGATCAAGTATTGAATGTCAATTAAAAAAATACAATACAGCAGAAATAAAAATAGAATTGCTGTAAAGGAATAACATATCAATTAGTACCTTAAAGAGAGAGTTGGGTTAATGTTTCAATGTGTTTCTTTATTAGAACCGTTTTTTTCTTTTGCTTAAAATATAGGACTTTTTTCGAACTAAAATTTACGCTTCCTTCTCTCTTTATTTGGTCAATATTTTACCTGAAGATTAAATATCATGTCAATCTTCATCAACTGTCGGATTTTAAAGAAAGAAAAGAAATAACTTGCATTTGCCTCAGCAGATCAAAGCACTCACAAATAATTATTATAAGATTGTAGGGAAACATCATAATAGTGATACAAAGATAACTATTCCCTGTTCTTTATATAATAGTACTCATTTGTATTTGGCTATTTTCCTCCCAGCAAACTCAGTCTTCTGTCCAATTATACAGGTATGTTCTCCTTTCAGTGCTGAAGATAAATCAATGGAAGCTGTTCAGCTATTCATTTTGTTTTCAGTACATCACCACTTATATAAAAATCCATCATTTCTAATCCGTCCTGTACAACAAATAATGTTAAAACTCATTACCTCTGACAGACCTGGAGGGTTGAAGACAATTGTGTTCAGGATCCGTGTCATGCATTCCCCTCTACGCCTTGTTCTCCCTCACAGTCTCCACCTTGCTCAAATATTCATTCTTTCATGCTCCTTTAGTCTTTCAGGCAAGTGCTCTACAGCTACAGTGTCTTCTCCGCAACAGCCCTGACCTAGACCCAAGTGCTCCTTTGTTCTTCTTGGCTGTGCATCCAGCAAGGCTAGAGTAAGAGACCACCAAAGCTTCAGTAACAGCTATTAATTCAGCCAGGCTTGCAATTTCCTTGTACTTTTTGACAGATTGTCCAACAGTTAGTTAGATATGTACTTTATTACATTACATCTTGCTTGGTTAATATGAAGGAAATGCTCGCTTTATAATCATCAACATATACAATCATTTTTGCCTGAACACAGCTGTGCAGTCACTCTTCATTGCCACAGCACATAAGTCAATAACATCCTCACACAGTGTTGTACTTAAAGGGAAGACAATTATTTAAATTTTTTAAAAATATATTCCAGAAGTTACCATCACAGCTCCTAATAATTGCACTTTAATATGCAAGAATAGAGTGAGCAGATCACTGATGGTAATTAAGAAATGGAAGGCCTTAAATTCCACCTCATCTTAGCCCAAGACCATTTTGTTTTAAAACTTAAGGTCACGCAGAATTGTGGCAAATTCTTAACTTGGAAGCTGATTCATTTTAGGAGCTGCAACGTTCATTCCAAATTATGGCTGAATTTAAGAATTTTCTGCAATTCTTTGTTAAATGTTTAACACCATATGGTCCTACAGCCTAAGACAAGCTGGATTTCTGGGCCTTTAGGAATACTGCATTTAGGAATCCTGTAGTTTTTGAAGTTCTTTGGTCTTTTATCACTGTTTTACTTTTCTATCAGCTACCCTCGCCTAAAGATGGTGTCCTAGTCCATGGTATGTACATGGATGCTTTTCGTTGGGATAATAAACATATGGTGGTAGAAGATGAGCTGCCAAAAGTGATGAATTCGCCTTTACCAGTTGTGCACTTTGAGCCTGTCCAGAACTATGTCCCAGAAACGTATCTCTACCATGCACCACTGTACAAAACAGGGGCCAGAGCAGGAACACTCTCAACAACAGGTAGAGTGAAAATAATAATCCTTACATTTGATACAGTGCTTATAATGTTATAATGTTGAAATATTGTATGCAAAGGTGGTGGTCAATTGTGCACTCCAAGGTCCCAAAAACAGTCAGTAAATGACCAATTTATTTTAGAGAATTGTGCCCAGGATACAAGGAGTGACTCCCTTCTCATTTTGAATAGAATCATGGGATCTTTAACACTCAATTCATTAGACAAACAGGACCTTGGTTTAATATCTCACTTTCTCTCTTCTTCCCTCTCCTTCTCTCTCACACACCGTCTCTCTCACCCACACTCTCCCTATCCCCTCTCAAACTCTCTCTCAATCACCCTCTCTCAATCTCCCCCCTCTCTATTTCTTTCTCTTCCCCTCTCCCTCACATTCACTCTCTCCCACCTCATATTCTCTCTCCCTCTCTCAGACTCTCTCTCAATCGCTCTCTGCTCTCCCTCTCTCAATCACTCTCACAGTCTCTCTCTCATTCCCCCTTTCTTACCTCTCACACACATACACTCTCTCCTCTCTCCCCTCCCTCTCTCTCTCACTCTCTTCACCCCCCTGCTCCTCTCCCTGACTTTCTCTTCCCCCTCTTCTCCCCCCACCCCTTTCTCCCACATCTCTCTCTCCCACCTCTCTCTTCCCACCCCCCCTCTCCCCACGTCTCAGCCCCGAGGCTATGGAACTCCTTCCCCCAGTGCCTTCGCCTTGCTTCCTCCCTTTCCTCCTTCAAGGCCGGTCTCAAAACCTTTCTCTTTGACCGTGCCTTCAGCTCCCCTCTCGACTCTCTTCCTCCTCCTCGCTCCCTCCCTTCCCTCCCCTCACCCTGACCATTTCCCCCCTCCTCTCTCCCTCCCTTCCCTCCCCTCACCCTGACCATTTCCCCCCTGCTCGGGTCATGACCCAACTGTGCAGCGCCTTGGGACGTCCTCCTGACGTGAAAGGCGCTCTATAAATGGAATCTTGTTGTTGTTGTTGTTGTTGTTGTCTTTCTCTCCCCCCACTCGCCCCCCTCAATCCCTCTCTCTCCCAATCTCTCTCCCAAGTGCAGGTCACTATCTGCAGCGGCAGAGCCGGTGGTTGGTTGCTAATGGCGCGGTTAGTAAGAGACCCGTTTGCCTTCCTGGCCAACAGTAGTAAAGATCCTGTGCACTGCGTCCTCCCAACCGCAGGCTCCTGCCACTGCCCTGTGAGCAGCGAGGGAGTGGAAGTTGAGTGGAAATGGTCGCGGGCCACATAAAATCTCCTGCCGGGCCGCTGGTGGCCATGTGCCACACTGACATAGAGAGTTGATATTCCGGGGTTATGGGTAACCTTGAATCACATTGTTCATCAGATATTATTTAGCTCCCTTTTATACAAACAAAACTGTTCAACTGTGTGAAGCACCAGAAATGTCCATAACACTTTCCCCATTGAGGTTTTGACCTGCATAGTTTAGTCTAAATCCTTAATATCTCATTGATGACCTGGACTGGCTGGCCAACCAGCAGGCTGCTGTCTTGCATTATTGCAGAACTGCAAGGATGTGTCTCATCTTTTTTGAGATAATTAAAGCTCTATAATAATAATAATCCTTGCATTTGATATAGCGCTTTTCACGTCGGGAGGATGTCCCAAAGCGCTTCACAGAACACACTGTAAAGTGAATTGATATTTGTGTATATAAACTGTATATTTGTGGGCGAACGCGGCAGCCAATTGCGCACAGCAATGTCCCACAAACAGTCGTAGATTGAAAATGACCAATTTATTATTGTTTTTGGTTTTGGAGGGATTATTATTAGGCTCTGTGTGGAGTAAGGAAACTTGCCCAAGGTTTCACCCTCTGCCTGGAATTGAACTCAGGTCTCTCGCTTGCAAAGCGAGTGCTCTAACCACTGAGCTACAGGACTCCACATAAGGAAGGTTCCCACTTTACTGACCTCAAGCATGTGATCTGCTGAGTGGAACAGAATTCAAAGCCATAATCTTATGTTTCTAACTCTCGTGCTCAGCGGGCTTCTAAAATCTCTCTATTAATGGTATAATAACAATAACAGCATTAACTGTTTTTAATTAATGTATGCCGATTAGTAATTTAATTCAAAAAGAGGCAAGCTTGTTGGAAATGTTCTTAAAAATTCTGGCTTTATAACTTCTGATATTATCCATATTGAGTAGGTATGAACCTTGTTTGATATGATTGCAGATCAGTAAAACTAAACTGCTTTTTTTTCTTGTCTGTTTACAGGTCATTCTACAAATTTTGTTGTAACTGTGTTATTGCCATCAGAAAAGGATAATGACTACTGGATATCCAAAGGATCTGCTCTGCTTTGTCAACTGAATGAATAAATTCAGATTTGGTGGACTCATGGCTTGTAATTGTGCAGGTGATGGAGGTACCATCCATTTTTTAAATATGAATGAGTCTGAAAAAGAAATTGCATAGGAATCAACTGCTCAGCTGGAATCTCATTTAAAAACTCTTTGATTTGCATCATCCATCAAGTAAATATTTAGTTTCCATACATATAATGCAACTTGTGTTGTACTGTTGCAATTTTATCTACTTATCTTTACATAATTGGTTCATTTCCTGTTTTTCAAAAAAAACAAAGATATGTTATAGCTTTGCATCCATCTTGATTCAATTTATGTAAATTAATTCTTTATATGAGTATCTAAATAAAAACACCATTTCCTGAAATGTACCTCACTATGTTTTGAAGCAATTTTTTTTAATACTGAATTCTTTGAAATTGGAAGCAAGTTCTCATTTTTAATGAAAAACACGCAGGGAACTAAAGTCCTGGCAAGACTCAATATGAAATGTAGTGTGTTAACGTGGGATGTAGTGTCTTAACACTACATCCCATATTAATCAAGTATCGTGCGTCAGGGCCTGATTTAAAATAGACCAATATAACCCAGTCATTGTATATCAAATGAGACACTAATGAAGCTTCACATAGAAATTTGCCTCGGAGAGGTTCCGCATTGGTATTCAAGATCCCTCCACTTTGCAAGCTGCCATCCTCACTTTTTATCAATCTCTGCAGGCAGTATTCACAAGGACTGTTTGCTCTCAATTTTTTGAAAGCATCCCTCCTGTAACAGCGATTCCTCAAGTCATTTACTTGTCATCCTGCTATTTATCATTAGTATTACAAATGCCACAAATAGGAGCCAAGAAACAAACAAAGCATACTTCTAACGCCCTTGCTTCCAGTAGCAGGTTGAGTGGGTTTTGACATGTAAACAAAAAGCCTTCAGGACAAAAATCAATACAATTCAAGGCTCATCTCAAACTGGCCACTTTAGAATTGAACGCCTCAGTTACCTGGTGGCATTACTGTAAACACATCTTGGGCAGCAGCACTCAAGGTTAAACAAGGTGGAGCTGCTTTCAGAGGCTGATGATAGCACCATGTCGAGAGGTGCTTTTTCTCTTCACCTCCATAGTTAGCAGCCAGGGAATCTGGAGGTCAGAGGAGAATTTTCGTTTCCTCTGGTGCACACAATTTGTTCTGGTTGCTGAAGGATTCAGCTCTTTACCTGCTGCAATGCTTGGGCCTTCTGTAGTAACCAGGAAAAGAGATTTGCATGAAACAAAATCTTGTCACAAATAATATATCTTCTCACTTTTTTTGGAATTGAAACAAATATGAAAACTGTTTCAGTTTTACAGCTGGAAAATTAATAATTGCTAAATGAATAATTCTAATAACTCATGTGAAAGTTCAGGAGAAAAAAAATTAAAATGATTGTAAATGCGTCTGATTGGTTGTTGCAAGTTGAATTTATTCTGGAAAGATTAAAATAACTTCCACAAGTATAGCAATAAATCAGTGTGGGACACAGAAGGTGATATATCAATTCAGCAAGGAAAGGCTTTATAATTGTCTTATTTCATTATTCATAACCGGACATACAAAATTACCACATTTCACCACATTCAATTTTGATTTAAGTGGTTTAATAAAACTTACTAAAATGTGTACTAAGAAGTAAACTCAATGATTTTAGAAAAAAACTAGTTTGTTGCCCTTGGGTCCTGAGGCTGAGTCATTTGAGAATTTGAACGTAAAGACTGAATATGTATCTTGCACATTGGAGCTTGTGATTTAGCAACTCACAGCTTAGATTGACATTATTCGGGAGAATCAAAGCTCCCTGAGCAGCAATGAATGGTTAGGTACAGTAAGGGAAAAGCATAAGCACTTGATTCAAGTGTTGCTTTGTCAAGATCCATTTGGATGACAAAGTTGTTGTTAAAAGTTGTGAAGTATTGATTTTCTGTTGTTCTTTTAATGGGTGGTGTGAAATGATCACACCTGCACTAAGTTAACGGGATACAGTTTTTTTTCATGATGTCATTTCCAACATGAATCCTACTTGTTCAAAGAAATGACTTGAGACAAATCTAGGGGGAGAAACCTATCATTTCAAACACTTACCCTTGGAGTTTCCTTTTGTTCTATTCAAAAAATGATACAAGAGTGAATGAATGCACTCTTTACATTCTTTTAACATCAAATATCCATTCTGCTGTTACAGACGAACACTTTCTTTATCAGCCTGAACATAATTGTAGGACAACTATGACCATTTTAGCATACCATTTAGCATTTTCTCAATTGTGTAAATATTGGAGAACAAGCAGAGCATTTCACAACAAATTATTTACAACATATTTATTAGAGTCTGACTGATCTCAGATCTCAGTCTGACAAGCTACTGTGAATCCTATTAAGGAACTTGTAGAGTCATCGGCCCAGCAAAGCTCAATCCACCTCACATTTCAATTCACACAGTGAAAGTTACTTGGTTGAATCCTGCACTTCAACATGGAATGAATTTAATCTGAAGAGAAAAAATCACATCAATGAAGAAAATTTGGCACTTGCCATGTTTATATAACCCTGATTGGCAGGTGAAGTGTCTTTCACAAGTGAAAGTTACTAAAGGCTATAGAAATTGTCACAAGAGAACATTAACCCTTTGGATGAAGACGAGTTTACAGGGACTCCTGACACATGGTGGTTGGGGGTGGAGATGGGGAATACCAAGCAGAAAGCTAAGTCATGTCATGTCCATAATACTCAGGGAAAGAGCATACCTCGATTACTGTAATGTAAAAAAACTCTCTGGGAGGATGCTACCCCCCGTGAAGGGCACTATATAAATGCAAGTTGTTACTATTGTTGGTTAAGTCTCTTAAATTTTATTCATAAAATATTGTATTATTTTCAAAACAATGAATTGAATTTAATCATTTTAATTTACAAATCAAATTGTTGTTCGAGGGAAAAATATATTTTCAGTCAACTGCTCGATTCCTGTAATGTACAAAATTGGAAGCTTTCCCGATTGCTCAGTGGCTAAGTGCATCATCACGTTGGTCCTGGAATATTGAAATGAGGAAGGTACTCTGTCACCTGTCTCTATTGTTATCTGATCTTCTCAGTGTCCATGGGTTGGAGAGGAGTCTGCCAGGGTTTCTGCAGGGCAATGCTTTCCAATGGACCCCAACAGTAAGTTGTGTCAATGTTTATAGATTGCAAAGGTACAAAGAGAGGCTCAGGAGAAGAAGGTTTTTTGGTCAATTTCATCTCATGCTTAAGGAATAATCCTTGCATTTTAAAGGAGTAAGGCAGCGTAGGGGAAGTTATTTTGTATTCAAGTTATCCCCTTCATTTTTGTCTGAAAAAATATTAAAACATTTGTAAATATGTTTGTTCCCCATGTGGAAATGCAATAACATTTCTGGACTTGCAGATTCCCGCTACTACAGGTGTCCTTCCTTCTTCAGCTGCTTACGGGATTACAATGACACAACTTAACATTGGGGTCCATTGGAAAGCATTGCCCTGCAGAAACCCTGGCATGATTTTTCTCCGTATCCATTAATACCTATTTGTCCTCTATCTAACTTTCTTTTCAACATGTTAATTGGTTCTGCTTCTATAGTCCCCTGGGCAATGTATTCCACATTTACACAGCCATATAGGAGGAGAAATGTTTTCCGAACTAAGTTCTGCCAATCTTGGCTCTAATTTAAAGGGTATAGTTTGGTGTATGGGATCAAAGATTGTTCTTGTGGCATTTGACATACATGCTATATTATGTGCGTGCTATGTTGAGGTAGGAACTGAGCTGTGCAAAAGCTTGGTAACTTTCTCTGGTGTCCAGCTAAGGCATATCTACACAATTCACCATCATCTGGGCTCGAGCACCTTTGCACCTACTGTCTCTCCCTTTCACAGGCCAAAATAATTTACTTTTACTCCAAAGTCATCCTGGAAGCCAAAAACAACCAAAGACACTGTTTTCCACCGTCCATCACCTCCTCTGTGCACCCCCTCAAGCCGCCTCTATCCTCACATCAAACGCTAAGTGCGAAAAGGTCCTAGACTTCTTTGCATCATAGATTGAAAACATCCACTTAGCTGCATTATCCTCTCCCCATGTCCCCTTCCACCCCACGCAGACCATCACTCAATCCCCTTCCTCTACCCCTTCTGGCCGACACGGTGAACCAGTCTGTCTCCTCAGGCTCTGTTCCACTCCCCCTAAAAACCGCTGTTATCAAACCCCTCTTCAAAAATCCCACCCTCAATCCCACTAACCTTTCATACTACCCTCTCGTTTCCAACCTGCCCTTCCTTGCCAAAATCCTGTCAAGTACCTCAGGGCTCCATCCTTAGCCCCCTTCTTTTCCTCATCTAAATGCCTCCTCTTGGCGATGTCATCGGCACGAGATAAACTTCCACATGTATGCGGATGACACATAAATCTACTTTGTCTCCTCCAGTACCAACTCCAGGTCCACCGATGTTCTATCAGCTTGTCTGGCAGACATCAGGGCCAGGATGAGTGTAAACTTCCTGCAGCTGAAAGTGGACAAGACGGAAGCCATATTGCTTGGCTCCCACAAATGTCGTCACTCCTGCGGATCTGAACTCTTCAACCTCCCCAGGCTCTCCCTCAGACTCACTGAACCAGTGTGCAATCTAGGCGTCCTGTTCGACCCCCAACTGTCCTTCCACCCTCACATCCAGTCCCTGACCAGGACCACCTTCTTTCACCTCCGCCACATTGCCCACCTCTAACCGTACCTTACCCCAAATGCAGCCGAAACCCTCATGCAAGCGTTTGTCACCTCCCGCCTGGATTACTCAAATGCACTCCTCGCTGGTCTCCCCAGCTCCACTATTCAAAAACTCCAGCTCATTCAGAACTCTGCTGCCCGCATACTGACCCCGACCAAACTCCGTACCCACATCTCACCAGTTCTGGCCAGGCTCCACTGTCTCCCCATCACCGAACGGATCAACTTCAAGATCCTCACAGACGTGTTCTAATTCCTTCAGCCTCTGGCACCTCCCTACCTCTTTGACCTCCTCACTCCACAATCCATCATACGGTGCTTCTGCTCGACTGGCACTGGCTTCCTGCTTGTCCCTCGCACCATCCGCTTCACCATTGGAGGTCGTGCATTCAGCCACTATGCCCCAACACTCTCCCTCAATCCCTCTGCCTT